AAATTTGCATCTGGCAACACTGAGATGCAGTCTTTCGTGACACTTTCCAAACTTTATACAGGATGCCGGCAATTTGTCGACGAGAAACGTGATACCGATTCGGCGATATTGTTGATTGTTTGTAAGTTAATTCGGAGATTGAAGATTTTTGCGAAGGTTCAGAAAAGTGTTTTTTTCAATTTTAGTTTGTAACAAGAAATGTGGCCTTTCAAAGCTTCTGATACCGTGCGAAGCTGGGGCGGGTTGCTAGTATATCTATAGCAAAGTCACTTCTTTGAGGCCCCTTTCTGAAGCATTGGCATCACCCAGAATTTTTTTATTTCGATAATATTTTTCAAATAACGTGCTTATTTCATTTTTGGAGTGAAAACTATGGAAAATAAGCCAATTGGTAGAATTGTTGTTACATTTAGTATGATTTTCTAAAATCATTCGCTTTCTTTTCAAACTTTACAAGCTTTTACGATTCAATTCCACAGGTAAATTGTCTGCGATTGATTTTATTCACGATACCTCCCAAAATACCACGTTTGATCGAAATTGGCTCGGAAATTGTGAGGTAAACGACCCTGTTGAAATCGACAACTTGTTGAAACGATGAGGGAACTGGGTCATCTCAAGTTTTTCCATTAAATCTAAAGAAGGGGTCGATTGTACTGAAGTTCCTCGACATAGGAAATGAATTGTAACGGATGTTTTGAGAGGAATGGACGAGAACGTTTAAATCTTAAACTGAGCTCCATATTTTAATTAAACCATTTAATCAGATCAAGATAAAATGAAACACTGTTATAAGTGAAGATTAAGATGAAATCTCCGTTCAAGAGTACTCTTACTCATACCGGGTGGCATTTTGAAAACTATTCTTAATTTACATTAAAGTTGATACGTCAAAAAGACTGCTTCGTCCACTCCACTGAAGATGACTGCCGCAGTTACAGTTGAAACGTTTGGATATTGTAACCAAAGAAGATTGCACGGCAAAACCCGTCACACAACCAAAACGAATACATGTTTGTCAGATCAAGAAAGTCTATTTCAAATAAATGAAAATACTCAATTCAAACAGTCCATTTTTCTGTGCAAACATAGTTACGTTTGTTTTGTACGGTTGTAGTTTATAGATTACACCTCACACCAATATTTTTTCAATGAGAATGTTTTTGTAATTATCAACTGAGTCTGCAACAGAAATTTCATGAAAAAAAATAATAAACAACTATTTCCCAGGCTTATACACGATGGTCATTGAATCATTTTTGACAGACATTTGTGCAAATTTTCTTACAAATCATCAACAAATTTCAAACTTAAGCATAGGAGGTTTGAAGTTTTCAATAAAAAAGGCAGAAAAATATTTTATAATATTCGTGTGAATAAGGAAAGTCTTGATCATCAGGCTTATTAACATCTACCACAAGATTGTTTTTTCTGAAAAATCATTTCGATAGAAAAAACGATTGTTTGAAAATATATAAGTTTAGAACGTTACTGTATTTGATTGGTTATTTTCAATTCTGACAGTTCATTAAATATAATTAATTACAACTGAGATTGTTCTCATAATGATTGATAAATCAAGCTATAACCATTAAAACTGAAGTTATTGGAACGAAAAATGTTATCTGAGTTATTTACTTTCGTATAATGGATAATTTCAAATTTAATCAGGCTAGACTGTACAAGATGTGTGGATTTTAATCAGTTGAAAGTAAAAGGCAGAGTGTTGCTAGAAGATCCTGAATTAAGTTTTGCTGTAATAGAAAACAAATAAATAAAACGCACTTTCAGCTATTGGAAGATAGAACTTTTTGTCCGTTTCATTAATTTTTTTTTTCGTTATCAGCTTTTTTGTTGAAAATACAACTTTTACTTGTAAATGGGGGGTTATAGTTAGTACTTGTAATATTCAAAAATATATCAGCTTTGATAAAAACCTTTAAAAATAGAGCTCTTTCGTCAGGATAAGTCAACAGGTGTTGAAAAATGTGGATATCAGGTATTAGAACTAGATCTCCACTCTAAAAAAGATGAATGTAGAGCACAGAAATTCTGAAAATTTAAAAGGCAGGAAAAGTAACACCAAGTGTTACATTTTAAATATATATTGATTCCTATAAATCCGATCTAATTATATTCATTTACTCGTCCGAAACATATACTTTCTTCAGAAACAAATACTCGTCGTCTCAGGGACAGGACTGACAGCTTCCTCAAAAAAATTCCGTTTTGTAAATCCTTTGCCACCCTACCGCATGAATTTAAACAGCACCCATATCGAATAAACAGATCACACGTGCTGTTTATCTAAAACGGTGAAAGGAATTCCCAAAAAGACAGTTTATGTCAGAATAAATAGGAGAAAATGGTGAAGATAGCGTAATTTATAATGAGCTGCTTCAACACATCTGGCGCTTGTACAAATAAACCCTCATTATGTGACGCGTGTAGGGGCGAGCAGTCGAGAGTTAGGGGATGATTGGCGATGGTGAAGTAACTTTTGTCCCTCGCGAAACTTGTTCAGTATACAGGGATACCTACAATATTCGTACAAAATGACATGATTGTCATCGTATGCTAAAGTGTTTGAGATGCTTCTTGAGAAGGAAATCTCCAACCGGTTTCATGAAAGGACGTTCAACCACCACCAATCTTGTAACAATCACTCAATGTAATGCAGAGGGTATTGATTGTCAGTCTCAGACTGATGTCATCTACACTGATTTTTCTAAAGCGTTCGACAGACTTGACCATAGTATCCTGCTCAACAAGCAGTACGTCCAACTTAATGGCCTAAAGTCTATCGAATATAAAGCTACATTTGGTGTACCACAAGGATCAAATCTAGGCCCCCACTGTTCAATATGTTCATTAATGATATCGAAGCTGAGATTGATGTCAATTTCCTTTCATACTCAGATGACTTGAAACTCTATCACAATAAAACATGTTCTAATGATTGTGAACGTCTCGCCCTGAATTTAAATCGCGTTGCTACATGGTGTCGGAAGAATAATCTATCTCTCAACATATCCAAATGTAATGTAATGTTTTACTGAAATCGAACTTGAATTTACACAACTACGTCATAAACAATCAAGTTCTGAAGCGTCCTGACAGACTCACTGATCTAGGTGTTACTTTTGATTCATTCCTCTCGTTTAATAAACATATTGACACTACTCTAACAGCAGCTTATCGCATGTATGGATCCTACAAAAGACTTTGAAAAAGCTTCAACATTGAAATTACTTTATTTCACTTTTGTTCGATCTAGGCTGGAATATGCATCTGTCGTGTGGAGTCCCTACTATCAGGTTCATATTAATTAACGAGAAGCCCTACAGAGGCGCTTCCTAAAATATATGTCTTTCAAACTTAAAGGCACGTATCCTACTGTAGGAATACCCTATTATGAATTGCTTGCAACTCACAAATTTTGTAGTCTCGAGGTAAGGCGTAAATATTATTCATTTCTTTTTTTATTCAAGGTCATAAACAATATCATCACCTGCTCTCAACTGTTACATATGTTGAATTTTTGGGTTTCTAGACGGTCATCTAGGAATATTGTCACATTTTATCTCAATACTCCTCGTACAAATATAATGAAAAAATCTCCAATTTATACAATGTGCGATACCTCTAATTCTGTTAGTCATGTTCTAGATATATTCAACTGCCAGATTATACATATCAAAAGACATTTTTTAGCTAACTGACAGTTCTGTTTTTATTTATTTTTTTTGTATAGATTCACAAATTATATTATGTAAGTCCATATTTGTAAATGCCACTGTTACTCCCTATTCTGTGATTGAGTTCATCCTGTAGAATAGTGTATAAAATAAATAAATGAATAAGTAAAACCCCTTACACCCCGTTTTCCAAGATGGTGGCCCGGGGACTAGGGTTGCGACCCCATAAACTTGAACTTAAACTTATACTAACCCAACTCCCTACACATAAAATAAATAAAATTGGTGTCCTTTGAAGAACGCTGTACCTTTTCAATGGACTACACAATAAAGATAGAAATTTTGTAAATAATATTGTTACGTTTTCCCCGTGGGTTTACCAATAATTGACTACACTGAACAATAATCAAACTTAACTTTATTTCACTGTTAATACAATAATGTCTATCGCCTTATAAGGTCGCTCTGTACTGCGCAAAAATTCACTTCACTTAACTGTATTGATATGCCAGTGGGTTGCGTTTATATACGGCAAACGAATTATCTCAACGTTGATAGAGAATTCGGCAGAATTCCATCGAAACGGCGTGAACATCGCGGTCTTAGCAACGTCACAATTGATTTATGGGCTCCAGCGGCGGCCGGCGTTATTTTCTTTAGGGCATGATTTGACAATATAATAATTCTCTGATTACCCTAATGAAGCGCTAATAAAGTATTGGCCCCTAAGTGATTGAACACTTGTATTGTAAAACTCTATTACATACGCATATTTCAAATTAGTTCAATCTCAAATAATATAATGGCTTAAACTATATTCATCCAACAAACAAAGTAACCCAAACAATGATAGATGCGTGATGAAAGTATGATCACCACGCACATTTGCATCTATTGGGGAAAAGAAACAAGCCTCTTTACGCTGGCCAATCAGATTTAACTGCAATCGGCTGGCGAAATTCATTGTTACAGTGTCGGGGTGTTCAGTTAGGTCTAAACGCCTGTGGTGTGTACATATACGGTATTTTGAAGTTTAAAATTTTTAAAATATCAAATACCGATACGGTTGAAGAAACTGCTAATTTGTGTCCCTAAACTACACCTAAAAAAATGCCTATACCCAGCTGCATATTACTGAAAATAAATCGGTCGTTCCTTAGTGCGACTCTGTACAAGCAGCCTTGTCTGGGAGATGACGTGCCCTATGCATGATAATGTTTGAGGCACTCCGGTGCTTAGATGAACAGAGTATATGTCAGTGCAGAAATGGCGCAATAATTTATTTATTAATTTTTTTTCCAGGACACGTGATGAGGCTGGACAGTACGTTATGGCTCGGTACCTTCCTACTAGCCTCTCTGGTCACGGCGCAGGACGTAAACGCCCCCCAGTTCACCCCCAGCACCCCGTACAACAGATACGACGTGAACGGCAACCCTTCCAGCACGAGCAACCCCTACGACATTAATCCATATACGCAGGACTCCCAGAACAACCCTTACGGAACGAGACCGAACGACCCCTTCGGAACCAACGATCCCTACGGAAGGGGGGACCCGTATGGACAGGGAGGCACGAGAGATCCCTACGGACAAGGGGATGCTAATAGGGATAGGGCGGAGTACGACCCGTTCGGGGGTAGGAGTCAGTCCCCGAGTTGGAGGAATGACCTGTATGGTGGGGGGAGGACGCAACTGGATGCCCATTCGACGGTGATACGAGAAGCGTGAGTATTTTCGGATTCGGGATTTCTAGAATTGAGAGAGAGAGACTATTCTTAGTAATATAGCTGCAAGAGTTCTGGCTCAAAATCCCATGTATTTTCTTGTGGAGCTTAATTCTGGACCTTTTTGGACCTCCGATCGGAACCTTGTGGAACACCCAACTCGAGGTAGGCGTGACGTAGTTGTCCGCACTCCTCCACTTTTCGTCATTACCCAGTCGACCAATCAGAAGCTACCGCGCATACAGCGGGAAATTCAAACCAGTAGATGAACAAACTTGTTCCTGGCACACCTCAAGGTCGTGCGTCGCTGGTTTGAATTTCCCGCTGTATGCGCGGTAGCTTCTGATTGGTCGACTGGGTAATGACGAAACTACTACGTCACGCCTACCTCGAGTTGGGTGTTCCACAAGGTTCGGATCGGAGGTCCAAAAAGGTCCAGAATTAAGCTCCATAAGAAAATACATGGGATTTTGAGCCAGAACTCTTGCAGCTATTTTACCATTCTTTCTTTTTTCGATAGTTAACAGACCGTGGATTTTCAATGATATAGAATGTATTGAATTGTGTTATCATCAAAACTAAATGTGTGTACCAAAGATCAGATCTATCTGTCAACAGGAAGGGAGACAAACTTCAGTTACCAAATTTGACCCAAACAAATGAATAAACAAATAAACAGGGCAAGCTGAATAAAACCGTTTAAAGAAACAAAGTATCTTGTAGTTTTTTTTTTCGATTCACTTCATTTTTCAAACTTTCTCGACAGATGGCAGCTTGAAATGTCAAATATGTCAATGTTGTCGATCGACGTCTGTAACATTATATGAAGTATAAGTTGTCTTCTAATATGGGTCTGTTGCAACGGGGAATGTTCCTCAATTTGGGTTATTACAGAAAATGCAAGTTTGAACAAAATAAAGTTGAGTTTAATTCATGAGTTTTTCAAATTCACTTCAAAAAGTATTCAAATTGATGTTTCAAATGTTGGGTTTTAATTTTCAAAGGGATTTGTTTCTAATTCACATATTGGCAACAGCGCCTAGAAATAATTGAAATAATTTATACGTACCTAGATATTCTACTTCAAAAAAGGAAAATTATCTTTATAAATCAACAATTAAGGCAAAATATAAATTATAGTTCAATACCACCCCCACAAGCCACATAAACAACAGTTGTTTTGTTATTTATTTATATACAGGAAGATAGGTTTGGTGCACAAAATGTCATATGTCACAGAATTTCTCGGAACTCGGAACATAAGTAAACAGAACAGCACGCCTCTGAAATTTGTCATCTTTGTTTGTCTCATACAGGTAACAGATTCATTATCCTTTATTAGCTATAACCGATGTTGCCAAATGGTGAAATAGAAACGAATCCCTTTAAATGTTGAATGCATTATTTCATTCCTCTTTTTTAAGTATTTAATCACAAAAAAAACAAATTGAAATAATTATGACCAGCTCTAGGACCATTAAATTATCTTCAGTTTTAACTTTGAAACTATATAAGAACGAACCTCTTCAACTTAGAGTAGGAAAGCCTAAGTTATTTTCTCCACTTGTTACTTAAATTGGTATTTCAGTACTTACTTCGTTGTGGCCTCCAAAATGGTGAGACCAGGCCAATTGTACAGGGTATCCGTGACTGTTCTAAAAGAAAAACAGCCGCTCACAGTCAGGGCCTCCATCCAGAGAAACGATGTGGAAATGTCTGCGGATCACAAAGACGTTAAGGAAGGAATACCGGAAACTCTGCTGATGAGGGTAGGATTGATTTTGGATTTTCCAGTATTTATTTTTTCCCAATTAGAATATCTATTGATGACCTAGGTTGGCTGTAACTTCACCAAATAAGTTCAACTTTATAAGGTGATTGATTTTTGTTTGGTGGATAAACTTTGAGATTTGTTGGGGAGAGTGAAACTCCTCCAAACACTGAAAACCTGAAACTTTTCTTGCTAACCGTATTCGGTGTCTATTTAGCAAAACTTAAAAGGATACCAACGGTAGGTTCTGGACCTATGGAACCGCTCCCTTCCAAAGGAATCGGCAGCTTAATTTTCTTCCAGGCCAGCGTGTCCAGGTATCCAAACCAGAGATAATTTGTTGAGGCTCATCATTCAGGATAGGTTTTTAGAGGTTCTGCGCCATCTTGGATGTTGTAAGAGCCGAGCGCTTCCGCTGATTAGTTGAAGGCACACCTGAATGAGTTTTTGGTTCATCTATGAACCAACAGCTATCTGCTGTTAAGGGTTCCCCCCTCCGGAGAATCCAGACCTCTTTACTTGGAATTAGGAGTTTTTAGGACAGTCAAAATTTAAAGTACAAGGCATATTCAAATGTTTCTGTATGTTTTGTTGAATGGATGAAAATACCTACCTTTGTTTTGATCATTATCATGTATATTGTTTCTAATTTTAATCAAGCAACGGGTCAGTCCATTCATAATAAGTAAACCAACGTTGTTTCACCCGAAAATAAATTCAATTCACCATTCAAATTAAATTTTGATATCGAATTTATAAATGAGAAAAGGTTTGGGCCCAAGAGTAGATACTTGAAGAACACCACATGAAGTGCTTCTCATCTGAGATTTGAATTCACTCATGTATATGACAGTTTTTTTTCAGATAAATAATTATGAAACTCTGATGCCAATTGTTTCGATTTTTCAAGTAAAATGTAATGATTTTCTGTATCGAATGAAGAATATTTCCCACCTTTTATGTTTTTTGTCGTCTACACTTCAATAGTTTATAATATTGTTCGTGTCAGGATTATTATAGGGGAGATGAGTAATTGTTTTTCACATAGATTTCCTCAACAGGAAGACTCAACAAATCGTCTCTGGTTTGGATTCATTCAACCAGAAATGAGACTCGTCACTGAAGACCATTTTTCGATAAAAATGTGGGTCTTCCTCCAACTTTGCCAGCGCCCATTCACCAAATGTTAGACGTTGTGGGAGGTCGTGTGGCTTCAATTCTTGCACCAGCTATATCTTATAGGGTTTTACACCCAAATCCTTTCGCAAAATTTTCCACGTAGTGGAGTAACAGAGGCCCAATTGCCGCGAACGGCGGCGAATCGACATTTCACGGACTGTCGGAAGACAGTGTGTGTCGCCTCTGTTTAGAAAATTATGAAACAGCAGAGCACATACTTTGTGTCTGCCCCGCTGCGGAGTGAATCAGGTTTTCAGAGTTTGGCAGAGCCGTACTCTTACCTGACCTGAAAGATTACTCACCACATAAGCCACCGCAACCTTTGCGGGTTGCGGTGGTGGCCTAACCTAACCTGTCCTACTGAAGATACATCATACGAATTTGTTTTCTTTATCTCCATTCATTTTGAGTGTGTTTCTCAACGATTTACGTTGGATGCCGACCACTCATGTGGGCGCAACGTTGAGAATCTCTCCCACAATGAACGACAAATAATTCAAACGAACTAACCCCCTATCATCAGCCTTGTTTGCGATTATTAGGCAAAGGGGTGTCGAAATTTCAATTAGTTTTGCGTTTGTGTTTGTTTAAATCTTGCTCCCGTTTTGTTTGTTTAGGTCCCGAGTACCAGTGCTCCTGGAGAGTACAAGCTGAGAGTGGAGGGATTATACGACGACGTATTGGGAGGGGCCCAATTCATCAATGAAACGAAATTGATATTCTCGCAGAGATCAATGACGATATTTGTCCAGCTCGATAAACCGGTGTATATGCAGGGTGAAACAGGTAAGGAATAATGGTATAACGATATTGGGACAATATTTACTGTAGAGTTGATGATTGATGCCGTTGAAACTTGGGAACAGGTTACACCGCCAGTCGAATTGAAATTTCTTGACGATTAATTGTATGGTTAGTGGTATATTCTCTGATAGTTTTGTAGACGCTGCGACATCACACTCTTGCTTTATTTTCCACTTTATTTATAGTTTAATCTTTTAGTAATATTGGATTTTCTTGAGTCTCATGCTTATACACGTTCCAAATCATTTTTTTGGTTATGTTGAAATGAGACCTTTTCGACCTTCGCCTAGAGAGCAGTCACTTTGCTATCAGGTTTGCTAACCTTCTTTGGAGTATTGTTCTCATGTATGGAGCTCCGCCCCTAAGCATAGCCTGAAGCCGCTGGATTCCACCCAGAGATTGGAGAGTTGTCTCTCTTTCATATATACTTTCATGGAAGGTGTTCAAGTGACTTGGCACATTTGATTCCACCAAGAGCGGTACATATCAGAAACACGCGATAACTGTGGCTGCCCATCGTTTTGAGGTTCATCTCAGTATACCTCGAACTTCACCGTTTAAGAACTCTTTCAGTTGGAGAACCGCGTTTATGTGGAACGTTTTTCCAAATGAATTCAATCTCCAGCGATTAGAATCCATCGTAAATCGCTACTTTCACACAGGCATCGCTTTTAGAGTGCCTTAAGAATTTTCATGTAGTGCTTGTGTTTTGTCCTCGAGAAGAAAAAAATCTGTAGACTCATCAGCTGTATTCCTGCTAGTCATGTTTCAGGGGGTAGAGGGGCGGTCTAAGCAATGAAGAGCCATCGCCGAGAACGCGACCCAAACGCGGGCAGACGCGTGAGGGCAGACGTCGTTGACAGTTGTGTCAGTTTTGCGAATTTCTTTATAGGTAGCATAATTCGATTCTCGAAGTTATTCATTACACAGTGCAGTTGGCAAGTAAAAATATAAATTACTAGATGTTGCCGCTCTTATATTAACGTACAGCCGAAGCTACTGAACCTAGAATCTTGAAATATGCAGGTAGGTTCTTTGTATAGCGTAAATAAGCATCAAAAAAAGGAATCGGGAATTTCCACCCCCAAGAGGGAAAAATAGGGGTTCAAATATTGTATTATCAGTTTTGAAGTTGGAAACCTGAAGTTTTGGGTCGATAAAAAATATAACTATTTGTTTAAAATGGTCTGTCACGAAACTTAATGTGACGAACCAAATTCTAGGCGGGTGAAACCGCGAGCAACAACTAGTTGTTCATAAGCGCTGAATCTCGGGTTGGTATTGTAACGAAACTGAAGCCGGCCCTGATCGATATCTTAGCCAGCCAACACATGACTCACTGCGAACTGCCGCGACAAGTATAGATGAGTACCGAAACCACTAGAGGAATCTAGAGCAATTGTTACCAATATAAGAGGTCGGCTCCTCGTTCAGAGAGGGAGTCTACATGCAGAAAGCGAATCTAGTGGTAAACAAAGAATTTGAACAGTGAAGATAAGTTAAGCGTTAGTGTTGAATATAAATCAGTTGTGATAGTGAAATATTGTTAAAAATAAATTTGTTCAAGACAGTTAATTCTTTAATTCGTTACAGTATATACTTAAGAAGAACACTTCTGGGAGTTATTCATAGCACAAACAAATTTTTATTTCAGAAATCAAGTAACAATCTGTCACTTTGAATAAGACTGTGGACACACCGGTGTAAAATTCTTATGATAACCTTGAAATTAATACACTGCATTATAAAATTGAAGGGAGATCCGGTATTGACTACAGATGTATTCTGCTGGCTATGATACAAGTTATCAAGTCTGATGAATTTTTAACAGTTATTTCTCGTGTGTGTTTTAAGATACGTTATACCGTTAAATTAGATTTTTGATGGCTTTTTTAGATTCTCGTCGGTACTCAATTAATTAAAAGTAATCTTGATATTGAGCAAGCTGCCGTAGGCTTAACCTCTAGGCTCGCAACTGGTAAATTAATTGATGGTATGTTTGAAGCTGGTCATTCGTTAGATGGTTACCTAACAAGTTTGTCGACACGCTCCGATCTTGTAGAACAAATACGAAAGAAATGCGTATAATTCTTTTTCGACGTTCGTTATAAAATTTCCTGAATTCTGTGAGAGAACGAAGGAATTAAATATGAAAAAGAGTTGCGTGTGTGGAAGACCCGTCAAAAGATGTAAAAGAACATCCAGAAATTTCTCGAAGTTTTGGACGTACAATAAAAAAACTAAATGTAGTTTCCTGTAATCTGACAAAAGGCTTTTTAATAGCGTCCCTTGATGAGGGAACATATAATTATCTTGCGATTGAAGAGAACTGGTATGACCTAGTAGACAAAGTTATTATTTTGGAAAAAATTTGGCTGCCATAAAACATTTACGAGGGTAGTTGAAAAAGTAATGATATCGAAAAGTTATAGAAAGATGTTAATCGACACATTCTTGAATATTCGGAGTACTTCAACTTCTTGAGAGTTTCGCTTGACATTTTCAAAACCTTAGTTAGACCATGTCTGACATCGGGATTTACGGGGGTGGTCTGAAAAGTTTCTGTCCTAACAAAGATACAAGACATTTTTTTTCAGATTTTTTTCAATTTCTCAACATAGTCTCTCTTTAACTCTACACACTTCTCTCAGCGATCCTCCCATCTCTGTAACTCATCCAAATAATACTCGGCGTTTTTCACCGCAAAATAATTGTTCACAAAGGTGATTGCCTCTTCATTTGTTGAAAATGTATGTTCTTCGAGCGCAATTTTCAGATGAGGAAACAAAAGAAGTCGCTAGGGGCTAGATCTGGTGAGTAAGGCAGATTTATTGTGCCCAAACTCGGATTCATTGCGCCTAAACTGCGCCAACTCAGATCATGAAATACTACCACCTTTTGGATTATCGTACCATGCAGTAATCTACGCAACTGTTCAGCTCAACATTCACTCAAATTAAAAAAGGAAAAATTCGCAACGAGGCAGAGACAATATTTTTTGGCGAATCGTATTTTCGAAACATGGAATAACTTACCCAACGATGTTATGAATTCCGACTCGGTGAACAGTTTCAAAAACAAAATAGACATTTGCTTATTTGCTTAATCGGCTCTATGCGTATATTAATTATTTTTCTTTTCTTTTTGCATGCATTGTATTGACTTGTTGATATCCTTCGTTTTTAGGCTTACATTGGACTTTGTCCTCAGCCTTTATTTATATGTAATAATAATAGAGCGTTGGAAATGTTCATTCGAACACGTTTTTGGTCTAACGTGAGCAAGCGCGGCACCCAACGCGCGGATAGCTTTCTCACGTCTAAATGTTGATTTAATATGTGTTCATAACCTCTGCTATCTCCCTTACTTTAATTCGGCGGTCGTGTAGCACCATTTGGTGAACTTTGCCGATGTTTTCGTCGGTAGTTGCAGTTTTTGGACGTCCCGAACGTTAATCATGTCCCAAGCTCTTAAGGCCACGTTTAAATTCACTTGCCCAAAATTCCACAGTGATAAATGATGGTGCAAAGTCTCCATACACAGAATCCAACTCATCTTTGATTTGCGTAGGCGTATTTCCTTTCAAAAACAGATATTTAATATTGATTTTTTTACGTTTTCCCAGTTCGATTCCGTACCATACCGATCAATACCGAACTGAAAGCGTTCAGTGATGCCGTTGACGTTTTTATGTTGGACCCCAACGGGCATATTATGAAACGGTGGCTGTCCAGACAATCCAACCTAGGAACGGTCAGCTTAGACTATAAACTTTCTGACCAACCCGTATTCGGAGAATGGAAAATCAGGGTCATCGCTCAGAGTCAAGTCGAAGAATCAACGTTTTTGGTCGAGGAATACTATCAGACCAGGTTCGAGGTGAGTAGTAGGTAGTGAGGTATTTTGGACCATCCCCCCCACCTTCCGAAGTAGATTCCAGGTCGCTTCGCCCTACCCCCACTTAGTGCAACCCACCTGTTTATTCGATGTTAATTTTAGGTCAACGTAACTATGCCGGCTTTTTTCCTGAACACGGAACCGTACATTTACGGTACCGTAATGGCGAATTACACCAGTGGGGGGCCTGTTCACGGGAACCTCACTCTCAAAGCGACCGTCCGCCCTATACGACCCATAGATCCCAATAAGTACATAAAGAAAACCAGGCGGCGACCCGACGATCAGAATCAGTTTTATGATCCGAACAGGCCTTACGATGTGAACAATCCGTATGACGCTAACGTACCATACGACAGGCCTTACGACGGTGTAAACAGACCGTATGACGACTATGACAGAATTGGGAGCTACAATAGACCAATCGTGGAGAAATATTTCACTTTTAATGAAGAGCTGCCGTTCTGGATGAAGATGCCTGAAAATTATTATGACCCCATTCCTCATATGAGGATGGTAAGTTGACAGTTCAGTAATTGCTTGCATACGTGACTTCATTCTTTATTTTCAGTTCAAAGGAGTTTACCAGTTCAGGTATCCCATTCAAGAGCTCTTGCACTACGTACCAACTTTGGAGGGGATGGAAGTTGTCATAACAGCTACGGTTGGTGATAGGTTCTTGGATGAAGTCATCGAGGGATATTCCACTGCGCGAATTTTCAATTCGTCTATCAATCTGAGATTTTTAGGGGACTCACCTCAAGTTTTCAAACCCGGCATGCCTGTTACTACATATGTAAGTGAAACGTGCTTAATTGTTTTGGTGTAATTTTGGTTGTCGTTTCTCTTGAACAGCCGTTTTTCGAACAGATCATAGTTCAATGTATAACTAACACACAGACAAACTAGAAGTAGGTACGTTTGTAGATATTTCGTTAGATATCCGCAACTGGAACAAGTTACCAGCTCATTTTCACAAAACCCATCATTTCGTAGATCATAGCTTCTTACCAGGACGGATCGCCCTTATCCAGGCAGATCTTGCAAAGCGGCGTGCTGGAAGTCACAGCGACTGTGGATATGAGAGGTGGCGGTAGAAGAGATATACCTTCGCGAATACTTTACCAAATGGAAGACAACCAGGGCGTATGGGAGTACAAGGTGGATGTGAAAAGGGATTTGGGAATAACCGGGCCGAAAGCTTATGAAGAGCTCAGTCAGTTGAGTAAGTCGAAATTAAAATAGTCGACCGTTTTAAAATGCAGTCTTTCAGTTTACGAGCTTACTCGTTTAGTAACTTTACTGTTTGTTTGAAGGAGGTTGACAATGTTTCGTGGTGTATTTCATCAGTTCGGACTTCCATTGTCTGATATAATATAAATTGATTTGAAATCCCTGAAAAAAAAAATAAACAAAAAACTGAAATTACAAAGAACAAGCAACAAATCAATTTATATTATATAAGACAATGGAAGTCCTAACTGATGAAATACAAACTTTACTGTTTTTCAGGTTCTTTGAGGATCCACGCTACTTTCAGAGATGCCTATAGCGGCCAGCTCACGAATGCAGAGTTGCTAATGTTGGCTCACTATAGTTTCAACGATCAACACATTAAAGTTATCACCAGCACAATAACCCCCAAGGTGAGTTTTTAATTGCATTGATGATTTCCTATTGCTAATGTAATGATCATGATTTATGGATTTCAACTTTTTCAATCTGAAAAATTTGTTTTCGGGTTGAGTGTACTTTACAAAAAACGTTATTGTTGAAAGCATTTTTTTTGCGCTGAAAACATTCATTGAAAACTATGGATTGGGGTACCTTTCAGGTTGGAGAATACATGATATTTCATATTAGAAGCAACTACTACGTCGAGAAGTTCAATTATCTGATCATATCGAAAGGAATCGTTCTGTTAACCGGCGACCAAGATATGGGTGACTACGTTAGCACCATGGCCATTGCTCTGAGCGCAGAAATGGCTCCCGTGGCCACGATAGTCATTTGGAACGTGGGGCGCTACGGAGACTTGCAGGTCGACAGTTTGACGTTCCCAGTGAACGGAATCAGCAGAAATAAGGTATGTTTGAAGGTGATTGATAATGTTTCGTGATGAATTTCATTAGTTCGGACTTCCATTGTCTAATTTCAATAGTTTTTACACTATGAAATTGTATCTCGGTTATTTCTTGGTATAAAAATATCGTTCTTGCTGAAAAATGTTCAGGATAATGTCGGAAATTCGATGCGATTATTAGTTCCGTTTCGCGAATGATGAAAACCTCCGGGATAATTTCTGGCAAACCCGACCGTTATCCATAGTATACGTGATAGAGTAGCGATGACGTATACGACCTTGTTAGAGGAATTTCTTCCTGACCAAACGCTTTCATCTCCCACGTTGAAAACGGACTGTTTTATTCTCGAGCCGCCTGGTCAAAATGATCGGGAAAGCTGAGACAAAAACGAGTAGGTCGTGATTATGGTAACGGGATTTTTTCGGGGCACAATGGCGCTATCTTCGTTCTCTTAAGAATTGTGTTCCTTATTGGGTTGCAAAACAGAATACTTGGAGTCGAGATAGATGAGGACTTGAGACCTGTGGTAGGTATTTTTCAAGAAATTTCACAATCACTGATTTTGAAGGGTTCAACGGAAACAACAGTCCGCTTCCAACACCGAAGGTGGAAGTACTTTTGAAGAAGCTAGCAAGCTATGCGTGCTGGCGAAGCGTCAGCACGCATAGCGTATATTACTACAGCCCTCAAACCCCACAAACGGTACGAGTATAGTAAGACTGCGCCCACGAAAGCCCAACGAAATATAAATATTGGTTCACTAATTTTGGAAAGAACAACTTGAGAATTAGCGATCTGTACATCTTCACGTGACATTCTTGAAATTTTCAGTTCAAAGTCTTCATCAACAACAAGAAGGCCCGCACGGGCCACAAGGTCGAGGTGGCGATTTACGGAGAACCCGGTTCTTACGTCGGTCTTTCAGGCATCGACCGCTCCTTCTACACCATGCAGGCCGGCAACGAACTCACCTACGCAAAAGTCATCTCGAAAATGTCGACTTTCGACGAGCAGACGAACAGCACCCTGCAGCATACCTGGTTCTCGCACGAAGGCAACCCCGACGAGCTAATTTACTTCCCTTCGAGCACGTACGGCATCGACGCCAACAGGACCTTCGAGTACGCGGGCTTGGTGGTGTTCAGCGACTTTGAGTTGCCGAGGAGGCCTAGTTTCTGTAACGCTTCGATGGGGTACGGCGAGTGCCTCAACGGGCAGTGTTACCGCTTGGCGAAGAAGTGCGATTTTTACAGGGACTGCGAAGACGGGACGGATGAAGCTGGCTGTAAGTATTACGACAACTCACTGGCAGTTTTTTGTACAGTCTTGTTCTTTTGTGAAGAATTCCCATTTTCTGCGTTAACTTCTCGGAAGTAGTTGGTCGCTGTGTGCGATGTGATGCATAATAATTTGTTCGTTGCCAGTGGCATACGCAACAGTCACGGCATGATATTACATTCAAAACCTTTTTTAACTTTGATCAATGATACACCTGCATCTAAATTTCATTCGTTGAAAATTCTTTGTACACTTTAATAGGGATATGCAGGCCATAATTCACAGAATCAAACTGAAGGTGAAATAGATCACTAAACCTTAGAATTATGTTCGAAACATAGATTTGAATATAAGAACATAGGGTTTCACGGAGTCACGATTAAATAGAACGAAATCCAAGCTCGTAGGGTGTGGTACAATGGAACCTGAAGTACTGAAAGTTTCGTCTGTTACTGCAGCAGACATCATCAGTGGTGTGTGCGTTGGCTGCGAGTACGAATGGTATATCTTGCAGTCTTAACTACGACTAACTAGCGGGAATGGTGGGGCGGGTGATGGCGTGGGCTCTGTGCAAATGCTAACTCCTGATTGGGCCGCACTTTTACTGGGTCATTTTGATTAGTCCGCACTGTTACTAGGTGGTTCTGATTTGTCGACGTTGTTGACAGATATTTTAATGGTGGAATATCCATCGGAGTTGTATTCTAGCCCATTTTTGGCCTCCTTGAATTCAGGATACCACGTTCTATCGACCCGTATACCTTCTTCTTTTCTCTTGAAATTTCTGGGATGCTTATGAGTCTCAATAGCCTCCCTATGAAGTTTGTTTCTTCTAGTTTCGCTGGTAGAAATAAACCATTTAATAATTCAAAGCATTACTTTGCAAGACTTCATAGGGAGGCCATTGAGATCTATAAGCATTCTATCAATTTCAACAGAAAAGAAGAAGGTATACGGGTCAATAAAACGTGATAACTAGTAGTCAAGAAGCGCAGAAATAGCCTTGGATACAACTCCGCGAAGTTCCACCATTAGCACACTTGTCAGCAACGTGCACCAATCAGAACAACTTAGTGACAGTACGGACCAATCAGGAGTGAGCATTTGCACGGACACCCTGCTATCGCCCCTCCTCCATCCCTACCATTGCCCTTGGCACCATCTGAAATTATGAATACGAGTGAATACGTAGCTCGCCAGTCAGTCGTCGCTGAGATGTCGTCGCTGAGATTTTTCACGAATTTTGTTGCCTCTGAAGATAGGTAGCTATGTTTAATGATCTTTTTAATAATTGAACACATATGATTTCTGAATTATGTTGCTGTTAAGGACAATTACCTTAGTCGGTGTCTGAAAATGAAGAGATCAGTTGACATTTCGGCAAATGGAGCAGTTCAATACATTAATAACCTTATTTTACTACATTTATATTCATTTCATCAATGTCTACGCCACCAAGGAATTGAAATCCAGGCTATTTTTTTTTTACTATGCCAGTTCTATGTATTCAACTTTCAACTTGACCTCGACCAACTTAGGAATGTGAAGGATGATCGTTACAGTAGATTTTCATATAATGCTGTAGTTTTTGACACATGGTGTGACGAATTCTAGGCCACTACGACAACGGAACGCAACTACAGCTGTTCAGGAAGTTCAGATTCAACAGAATACAGCGGCAGTACGAGAACGTATGGGTCTGGAAGGACGTCAACATCGGCCCCCACGGCAGATACATCTTCAACATTCCTGTACCTCCCAGGCCGGCTCACTGGATGATCTCGGCTTTTTCGATGAGCCCTTCTCTAGGTTTCGGAATGCTTACTAAAGCTATTGAGGTAACAAAGCACATCCAATCGTTGGTGGACGTTTCATGATTTCGCTTTTTTCAGTACGTCGGTGTGCTTCCGTTCTTTATCAACGTTGAAATGCCCAGCGTGTGCATGCAGGGAGAACAAGTGGGAGTGCGAGTCACGGTCTTCAACTACATGACGGATAATATGGAAGCGACGGTTGTTTTGAACGGATCGCCTGATTACAAGTTTGTTCACGTTGAGGAGAATGGTATTGTGAGGGCCTACAATCCCCGTACCTCTTTCGGAGAACATCAGTTCTTCATATTCATATTGGTGAGTGTTTCAATTGCTCCAAAATTGGTAGTGCTTGTGTTATCAGCCGGGGTCCGGGTGGAGGTCTAAGTGGTCATGACCCCTCCAAAATCTTTCACGTTAAATCAACAAAAATTTCAATAATTGACAATTTATGCTGAATTCAATAAATCATTGTCTCGATTGAGAAATTAATGCACAAGAACTGGGCATACGGTCCCAAACGGTTTTTGATGGTTTGAAACGTATTGGAAAGGTCAAACAGCTCAAAAGGTGGGTGCTCTACAATTTGAATGATCGACAGAAATTGTCACGTTTCAAGGTCTATTCTTCTTTGCCTTAGCGCAACCAAAACGATACTTTTTAAAAGCTTTTATTCAACTTGACTTGTATGTATGTTAACAAATCTTGCAAGTTTGATTTGACCCACTTCCCAGTATCCGATTGACCTAAAATTTTGCATGCTGGACCGGAACCAATGACAATGCATGTTTATCATAAACGTGACCTGATGCTGCTGCCAGGATCGGCTCCTTATGAGAGATCGCCTCAGCGGTAAATAGCAGGGACACGAAATTTTGTATACGTATTCGTTCATGGTAGGTCCACCATGAAATAGATGCCGCATCCAGGGTTGGCTTCAATGAAAAAATATAATTTCTAGAAAAAAAAATTAAATCTGATATAAACAAGACTGGGGGGTTGCCTAAAGAGTTGGAAATATTTGTGGGGGCCAAGGTGATGTTGCGATACAATGTTGATGTGTCTAAGGGTCTAGTGAATGGTGTCATCGGTCATATAATAGAAATTATATGGCCCTGTTTCCGAAGAGCACAAATGTATGACACGGACTGANTTTTTTTTTTTAACTCTAAACTGGCTGAAAAAATCGTTGTGAAAAACTATCCGATGTCATACTTGAAGAATATTGCTTCTTTACACCTACGGATATCTGAAATAAAAGAAATGATTGATGATAAGTGAAATCGAAAATAAAAATTCGGTGGGGTGGGATGCCATTTTCTTAAAAATTCTGACAACTCTTCTTGACAGGGCTTGGAGTGCTTTGGTGGAGGCAATAAATTTCTCATTCTCCAAAGTTATGTTCCCATCGTGTCTGAAAATTGCCACAATCATTTCTCTACATAAAGGAGGCGATCTTGACAACCCAGCTAATTTTAGGCTAACTGCTTTGCTACCCGTCTTGCCTAAAGTTATAGAAAAACTGGTAAGAAAACGAGTAATATCCTTCCTCGATAAAAACAATATAATAAATTTATTCCAGTTTGGCTTTCAGTCTTCAAAAGGTACACAAGACGCCATAATTTCACTTCTGGAAAACCTGTACACCAATTTTAATGAAAGAGAATCTTCGGCGGCCATGTTTTGTGACCTAAGCAAGGCCTTCGATTGTGTAGACCACATGCTACTTGTTCGCAAGCTAGAAATTTACGGATTTAGAGGATCAGCGTTACTTTGGTTTGAGACGTACCTTTCTCATCGACGGCAGAATGTTCTATTAGATGAAATTTCATCAGAGGAACGTTTCATTGGCAGTGGGGTCCCACAAGGTTCCGTTTTGGGACCGGTGTTGTTTCTCATTTATGTCAACGTCTTAGTCCATGTTGACATAAGTGGTAAATTCACATGTTTCGCTGACGACACCACTATCTTTTGGCATAGCAATACCGCCTCAAATTTACTTGATCAAATCATCGTCGACATGAGAAGGGTAAAAGAGTGGTGTGATTCCAATCTTTTATCATTCAACATCGACAAAACAAATATGGGCACGTTTAGATGTAAAATGGGGAAAGTACACTTGGAAAATGTTAAAGTTGAAAATTTGGAGAAGAACAAATTTTTAGGGCTCTTCATTCATGAAAATCTAAAGTTTGATTCCCATGTCGACTACTTATGTAAAAGACTAGCAGCAGGATGTCAGGCAGTGAGTCGTTGCAAGAAAGTTAGATACTACTATTACAAAATCAGTTTATTTCGCACGAATTGTGTCCTATTTACTTTATGGAATTTATTTCTGGGGAAATTGTACAAATTTCGTTTCAATATGGTATTCTCTCTACAAACAAGATACATAAGATATTTATGCAAGGCTAGCTACAGAAATTCATGCCGCCCATTATTTGTGAAGCAAAAAATTCTGACCTTAGTATGTCTTTTTATTTTGGAAACAGTGTGTCTTATTCACAAAAATTATAGTGTGGACGAATTCTAACAAGGCTCTATTGAGTAATTGGCATGTAGCTTTGTGTACACAAGTTATTGAAATCAACACGAAATAGCTATCAATGTTCCCTTCTCCAGCATTATATATTTACATTTACTCAAAATTCATATATTCATGTACTTATATTTGTATCTGTTCAGCTGGGCTTAATATTGTTCTGTCCATATACTCTGCTCTTGTCTCTAAGCATTATTCTATAGTTTATATTTGTTAATTATCCCATATACACGTTTTACTTTACTAGACTTTGCCAATAAGATGTTCAGATCTTGAGTAATAAAGCATATTTTGATTTGATTGCTTGTCCAACATAAATCCTAAATATTGGAATTCAGTAATAAGCTCAATTTTGTCATTTTCTATTTTTATTTGAATTTGATTCAAATTAAACGGTGTAATAAGTATCATAGCCTTTGTTTTGTTGATATTTAGCTTTAGCCTATTTGTTTTTGAATATGTAGCAATATTATATAATGCTTCACTCATGTTTTGAATAGCTTTATCTATATCTTCATCACTAACCGATACTAAGGCATCATCAACAAAATAACGTTCATAATCACATTCATTACATTTGCTGAGATCATTAATGTAGATTAGGAATAGCAATGGCCCTAGAATACTTCCCTGCGGAACCCCACGGTCTACACTCATTGCTTTTGAAACAAACTCATTAATTTTGGTTACCTGCTTCCTTTCTCTCCCACCCTTTCATTCCTGGAATGTATTTCAGGAATCAATCGACGTCCTCCGTTTGGTTGACTGCCTACTGCGCCAGGGTGTTCCAGGAGGCCAGTTTTTACGAGTGGGAAAACTACATCTACATCGATCCTGTCGTCATCGCCAAGGCGGTCGAGTGGGTTTTGAAGCACCAGAACGAATACGGGGCTTTCTGGGAGGAGAGTTGGCTGCCGGACAGGAAGTACAACTCTAGTCTCAACATTGAAAACGATCCGATCAGGCACAGAAATATCACGTTGACTGCTCACGTCCTTATCATGCTGGATTCCGTGAAAGACCTGACAAGTAAGGAATTTTTTTTCTATACATTGTACGTGGGAGAAAATAACTGAATGGGACAAATTTTGAACAGGATATTTTTGTTGGCTAACCTGACAAGGAAATATTTCAATTTCTCTTCTCAAGGTCATTAATAAGGGTGGTTTTTTTTTACAGTACACAATCGTTTCGATATGTTGACGTTTATACTTCAATAACAATGTACAGTTGGAGGAGATGGTGATATATATGAAAATGAAATTTATATTCATGCAAAATGAAAGAAATGAAACAGAGTTGAAAAGGGAGAAACGGATTCGACTTCAATTGAGTCTTCATCCACTAATATTTGTTGATGAAGACTCAAAACCACAAAAAAACACCTCTGCAGAATATTGAATCAGCTTTTCAAAGCTATTTTCTCTTATGGAAGGAAGGTTACTGATTCTGTTCATTAAATTATCTCTGATGTATTCAGATTTTCCGAACCGGTTCTCTAAAGTTTCATTCACAAGGTCTACATTAGTGGCAGTTAACACCATTCTTGCAACTGCTCTCTTTGCTTCCCCTTTTAGAAATTTCTGCAGCTTCAGCATGATCTCTTCATTTCTGTAGTCACAAAACTGGCGGAGATTCTTGAAAGACTTGTGGAACAGGAACCAATCTTGGGGGCTGCCAGCAAACTATGGAAAATCCTTTTCTTATATTTTTGGCATGTGCAATTTATTTGGATTCATCACTTCATGTGATGGTGAATTTTGAGCTGCTGAAGCTGGGAGAGAAAACTTTCTGAGAACGTTTGCGACAGTTCCACAAAGCTGTTGTATATCTTGTGATGTGATATTGCTTGGTTTCTCTTCAAGAAATTGTCCTTCGACCTTGGGCATGTTGTCAGTGGATTTCTCAGTTTTTTCATAAATACGTGACAGATTTTCTTTTCTATCATAATTAAATTGTTCAGATGTGTAATCTACCCATTGAGATACTGTGTTTTTTCGTTCTTGTTCTTCAACTAATTCTCTCCTGATATTTTTGCTCCTTGCTTCTGAACGTAACTGCTGCCTTCTTCTTGCCTAAACGTAGTCCTTCTTCTTTGAGTTGAATAAGGTGTAAATTATCAGCTATTTCCTTCTTCTTCAACTCTCTATGGTTCTTTTCTTCCAGTTTTTGTTCCAGTTCTAGCTCTCTGGATTTTCTTTCTGGCTCTCATCTTTGTCTTTCTATTTCTAGAGCTATTCTTTTCCTTTCTAAATCTAAACTATTTTTTTGAGATAGTACGGTGTCCTTTGAGGTTCTTAAGTGAACAGACTGCTTCGAGTGAACCTCGTGAATCAAGGAAGTTGACTCGCCAAACGTATCTTCAATGAGTTTTTCCGGTAGTTTATCTAGATTGAATTCTGGTTTCTCACGACTTCCAAATCCATTTGGCCATACATAGTCCAATGACGACAGACTTTCATTTAGACCTGCACCTTCTCACTTGGACGTACGTTTCTCCATATCGTGATCACGTCACCAAATGTTGTTTTCTTGATAATTATCAAACTCGAAAATGCTCAGTACCATTAGTCGGGATGGATTTTTCTTGACAAATTATCAGTAACTATCCAAACATTCTGTTTTATTATCTACAGGATCATATTATCAACAAATCATAGAGAAACCAATAAAAAGATGAACAAATTAATATAACAGATATTAATACACTGTTTTGGCAACAGTAACATAAAAATAATCTTGTTCTTGAATAAAACATTCGTTCTTCAACATTCTGAAGACATTTCTGATAATCCCTTTGTATAAGGGTGGACCCAGAAGCAGGGTGAAGCAGAATTTATGTTTTTGCAATGATAATAACATCCTTACTTCTCGTCAGTTTGGATTCCAAGCAAATAAGGGTACTAGTGATGCTATGTTCTCTCTGTTAGAAACGATATACTCCGAATATAACGCTAAAGAAGCAGTCGCTGCTATTTTCTGTGATCTATCGAAAGATTTCGACTGTGTCAACCATGAGATCCTTCTTAATAAGTTGCAACAGTATGGCTTCAGAGGCAACACTCTCCACTGGTTTCATTCGTACTTATCAGGTCGCAAACAGGTAGTTAAAACAACCGAGCGTTCCTCTGCTCAAACTATCAAATGTGGTGTACCACAAGGATCGATCCTTGGCCCAATTTTGTTTCTTATCTACATAAATGACTTGGCTTTTATAGATATAACGGCCACAATTACTCTCTTTGCTGATGACACCACTTTATTATGGCACAACAAGGACATTCCTACCCTTCAAGATGCCATCTCAGCTGACATCAACAAAATCAAAGAATGGTGCGACTGCAATAAGTTATCATTCAATATCAATAAAACTAGCATACTTACTTTCCACTGCAACTTACCTGAGATCTGCCTTGGTGACAAAATCTTAGACAGGGTACATAATTATAAATTTCTAGGGTTGAACATTGATGATAAACTGAAATTTAAAAATCATACAATAAATTTAAGCAAGAAGCTTGCCTCAGGTTGCTATGCACTAAGAGTGATTTCTAGAGAACTAGGCTACCCCCATTCAAGAACAGCTTATTTCGCTCTAATAGATCCCCATATTAAATATGGAATTGCCTTCTGGGGAGTCTGTTCTAGAGATTTATTTCAAATGATTTTTGTGCTCCAAAAAATGGCTGTCCAGTATATGTGCAAAGCAGCTCCCAGGGATCCATGCAAGCCTCTTTTCATAGTTCATGGTATTTTAACAGTAGCTGCCCTGTTTATTCTTGTGCATCTCCCCCTTCCTCATATAATACTCATAGCCACAATAGTAACATAGATCTGCCTATTCCTGCGAGCTCCCTTGTTAGGGATTCAATTGTATTCAACGAGATCAAACTGTTTAACCACTTACCAGCCCGAATTAAAGAAATTATAGTGCTCAACAAATTCAAAAAAGCACTTAAAATGCTACTTGTTGATAGGGCCTATTATTCAGTTCAGGAGTATCTTGACGATTCACTTGAATCTTAACTTTTATTTCTATGTCTTGTTATTTCCAGCTGAATATCTCAGTGTATTTCACATTTTTAGCTTATGTTTATTGTATTTTGTTAAATTGTGTATGTTTTTTTTTGTAGATTTTTGTATCTTACATATTATTTATGACTTTGTCTACAAGATATAGTTCTTCAGACAATAAAGTATATTTGATTGATTGATTGATTGATCACCTATTCCAGGCGGGCTCAGCTCCAAAGTGGCCATCGCGGCGAAGCGCGCCATCCACTGGCTCGAGCGCAACATGGAACTCCTGAAGGAAAAGGGGAGCCCCTTCGAAGTGGCCATCGTCGCGTACGCCCTGATGAAGGCCAAAGCGCCGAACGCGGAAACGGCCTTCCTCGAACTATCCCGAAGACAACGATTCGAAGGCGGTCTGCTCTACTGGGGCAGGGACAGCATTCCGCAACCTCCGTATAAAATAGAAAATCAAAAGCCGTTCCTACTGCCCAGACTGCCCTACGAGTACGATTCGGAGAACATCGAAGCTACAGCCTACGCACTACTAGTGTACGTCGCCAGGCAGGAGATCTACGTCGACAACATCGTCCGCTGGCTCAATACACAGCGTCTCACGGATGGAGGATGGGCCTCCACCTCAGACACCGCCAACGCGATGAAGGCGCTCATAGAGTACACTTCAGCGCAGCGTATCCGAGACATATCCAGTCTTTCTGTGACTGTGGAGGCCACGGCGCTACCAGGCAAGACGCAGGTATGATAATAATAGTAATGAAGATGCTTTATTGCCTAAAGAGATATTCTTATTGACAAAACTTTGGTTAACGTTGCTATCAAATACAGAAGCATGAATATAGTCAAATACAGAAGCGTGAAAGCACAAAGTATTTGCTATGATTCTATTTTTCTAAGCAGAGAATGATTTAAAGTTTGCCGGTCATACAGATTTTTCTTTACCACTTTTATATCACCATTTGTCTTTACCCCCAAAAAAGGCCTCAGCTTCGACAACTACTTCTTAATTTATTTCTAGCGCGCATTCTCGTGAGGTCATAACAGAAAAAAGTCGCTGGGGGCCAGATCTGGAGAATGCAATGGATGCGGAAGCAATTCCAAGCCTAATTCATGCACAAAATGGTTGAGGCTCTCGCGGTCGAGGTTTTCAGTGTCACTATTTATTATTCGGGTTTGGAGGACGTGGATTTTTCGAATTTCTTCCTGATGTTTCGCTGGAGCTAGTGGCTAACTTCTTCAGAGGTTGAGTTTATATCTAATGACTTTGTATTACATATGCGTAAAGGGTATTTATGTTGATTCAGGTAGTTTGGTATGCTAATACCTACACTTGCATTAGGTAAATTGTCAATAACATTCGTTGACCCTTGAAAAGGGTCTTCAAACCTTCATTGGGGTCTTCAAAGGGTCTACATTGATTTATATTCATTGTCTTGATGAAACACCACTTTCTTTTTCTTCAAACGCTCCAATAACGCTATAAAATAGTCGCAGTAGTTAGAATTCCTCAAAAGAATCACCTTTTTTTGGAATATGAATCTGGTTCAAGGAAAAACCATTGATGTGAAACAGCAATTTAGATAAGAAACGAGCACTTTTCCCAAACACCATAACTGAAATACTGTTACGGTTTTCCCGTGGGTTCGACAATAATTGACCACACTGTACAATAAAAATCAACTTTATTTCACTACCACACTGTCAATCGAACACTTTAACCGATTTTCAGACTAATACTCGAATGTCTATCTCTTTATTGGCTCACTTCGTACCGCACTTTCAACTAGACTAGTCTCCTCTGCCTGTCGGAAGTGCTTATATACCCCAATGGAAGTCTTCAGAAGTCGATAGGAATGTTTTTGAAGCGACGCTACACCTAGAACGATCGAAAAGCGCAAGAAGACTTTAGCGAGACCTTGGTCAATTTAAAGTCGATCGACAAAGACCAGTGGCGGTCGGCGTTATTTTTTTTAGGGTACAATTTACAAAAATATCCCTCTCGACCCCCGTTTCATCAACCAAGTTGGCGTTTCCAAGGGATGAAGTAAACTAATGGCTGAATGTGAAAATAATTAATCTAATTGAGCTCAGCTACATACCAGGTTCCTATGCTCAATTTGTTTGCTTAGCATACACCGTTATTTTCTCAACAAACGATATTTTGCCAGAAACTCCCTGTGCTAATGAAGAACTATATAATTTAGGTGATGTACGTCAATGACAGGAACAGGGCGCATCTGCAGTATGTTGACATTCCGAACGCGTGGGGCACAGTCAAGGTGCAAGGAAAAGGAACCGGGTACGCCATCCTCCAGATGTCGGTGCAGTACAACGTGGACGTCGAGCGGTTCCAGACGAAGCCGCCAGTTCCCGCTTTCGACCTGTGGACGAAGCAGTACTTTTACGGAAGGAATCAGTCTCACATCACTTATGTCAGCTGTCAGAAGTAAGTGGTTTGATTCTATAACTATCTAAATCAATATATATGACGATAATGAACCTTTTTCCAAATAGACGTCCTAATATATAAAAATGGAAGTAAATATTATTGTGAATATGCTTACACAGCCGGTCGGTTCGACGTGGGTGCTTTATTCACTCATTCAAATCGAACACTGTGTTGTCGGTGGTTCAAGCCCCAGTGTTTAGCTCGAACAAGTTTTGACAAGTTAATGAAAAAACAGATTTAAAACAGACTTAAACAAATATAAAGAGTGAAATTAATCTATAATATAAGTGTAAATGCTAGAGAGGGGAAAAAAGAAGCACATAATGAAAAGTTGTAAATAGAATGTAATACGAACTAATCATCTATTGCATCTATTATCAATTATAACTATGTGAAGACGAAAAAAATTAATAACGCCAGATTTAATAAAAAATAATGTGTGTGCACTAAAAAAATTCATTCCTTACCTACTTTTGAAATACCGGGAGGTCTGAAACTTTAACTGAAACTTCAAACTAATACTCAAATGTATTCCTCTTAAGTATGATCACTTGGTGATCAAAACACGTGTCGAAGTGTTAAAATAAAGGTTTGGTGTTGGGATAGAAACTTCAGTAATATTCAAATATCTATCGCTTTATTAGATCACTTCGTACCCCTGTTTCAACTAGACTTGCCCCATCTGTCTGTTGGTAGTGTTTATATATAGCAATGGAAGTCTCTGGAACCGATAGGAGTCACAATTATTTTGTTTCGGGGGATAATTTACAATAATATTATCGAAAATACTAATGAAACAGATGAATACATATGAAATAACTTGATTGAAGAGAAAATGAAGGTAATTTCTGCGAGACTGAACACTTTTGTTATTTTCTCTTAGAGACCTGTGGCATGAGTACGTTGTTCAGAAAATGATACCAAATAATCATCTATTGCATCTATTATCAACTATAACTAATAAAGACAGACTATTTGAAGAAGAAAAAATGAACAACATCAGATTTAATAAAAAATAATGTGTTTGCACCAAAAAACTCATTTCTTACCTACTTTTGAAATACCGGGAGGTTTGAAACTTTTACCAAAACTTCAGAATAATACTTGAAGATGATCACTTGGTGATCGAAACACGTGTCGAGGTGTTGAAATAATGGTTTGGTGTGGGGATAAAAACTCCAGTAATATTCAAATATCTATCGCTTTATTAGATCACTTCATATCGCTCTTTTAACTAGACTTGCCCCATCTGCCTGTTGGTAGTGTTTGTATATCGCAATGGAAGTCTCTGGAAGCCGATAGGAAAGTCTCTCTAAGTGATATGACATCTAGAACGATCGAGAAACGCAAGGCGAGTTGAGCGCTACCTTGGCCGAGTCACAGTCGATTGACGAAATCCAGCGGTTGCCGGAGTTATTTTGTTTCGGGGGATAATTTAGAATAATATTAACTAAAATAGTAATGAGACATTTGAGTACATATGAAATAACTTGATTGAAGAGAAGATCAAGGAAATTTTTCCGAGACTGAACACTTTTGTTATTTTCTCTTAGAGACCTGTGGCATGAGTGTTTTTGATTGTAAAAAATTACATTCATCTTTCTGACAACTCTGTGTGTAAGTATATATGTATGTATTCATGTATTGTATAATTTTTTTTAGGTGGACCCACTTGAACGAATCTGAAAGATCGGGCATGGCAATTCTTGACGTTACTATACCCACCGGTTATATTATACAGCAACAAGACTTGGACGCATACATATTATCGAGAAGAGTGAGAAACTTGCAGAGAGCCAAGTTTTTAGAAAGAAAAGTACTCTTTTATTTTGATTATGTGAGTATTTCTGGCTCTTGAAGAGTGTTGAATATTTTTTCTATTCACTTGTAAGTAGACAGTTTTGTTTCAATTCTCCTCTTTGAATTTTTCAATTACTTTGTTTTTGTTGCTGTTTTTTCTGGCAAAGTGTTTGTGTTCAATTCATGTCGGAATATCTTTGGACATGAAATGAATGTTCATAAAATATCCCTAAGTGGACTTGTAATGGATATTATTTGTGGTTATCTTATGCACATCCATTAGATATCCAAAACATTTACAATATCATAGATGTCCGGGTTGGTACACCTGGACATTCATAAGATATTGATTGGAAATAAATTGGGACATCCCATGGTCATCCATGGAATGTTCCTGTTTTGTCCGGGAATACTTCAGTTCAACACAATCTCCTTGTTTTTCAGTTGGATAGTGAGCAAACCTGCATCAATTTCACTGTGGAACGGTGGTATCCTGTAGCCAATATGTCCCGTTATTTGCCCATTAGAGTTTATGATTATTATGCACCAGGTGAGATACTGTTACATATACAACGCAGCGGTGCCGCTTTCCGCAACGATATACGTTACTTTTGTATCGAGCGCGGTACTAATCCTGAGACACTTGCTGACGCGAGACGTGGTACTGTAAAAAATAGAGTGAACTGAATATATTACTTGTTGAACATTATATATTAGGTAGGGAAACGCATGTTTGGGTTTGGATCGAAGTTTTGGTTCTTGTCGAGTAAGATGGAAAGTTTTTTGGCACGATGGGACCGATTATTGTCGGGATTCGGGGTGAAGTCGTGTAAACTCTTGAATGGCAGATGGTTGTTGACTCTGTATCACAGGTTTTTCCTTAGAACAGATAGGGACAAATCCTTTCGTTTTTTTTTCTTAATTTCTGTTAATTTTTGAGTGCAAGTAACACTTTCGTGAGATTTTACTGGACAGCTTACAAAACCTCTGTTTCTCTATACTATTTCTTCCTCAGCTGTGTTCGAACTACTTTCCATGCAAAATTTTATTTCTTGGAGAAAGATTTATACTTTCAGTTGTATCGTCGATCAATGGTTTGAAAATACTGATAACTCTTGGTTTATGGATAGTCTTTTTCAAAATTTATCAAAATTCATTGAAAATAATAGTATCTGAAACGTTCAAATCTCGATAATAATAAAATTCTGAGGGATTGCCTTTAATGAAAGTATTTGTCGAAGAAATCAAAGAACTAGGGTTAGATTTGTTATCAAATAGAAAAATTGGACGGTCTGCTTTAGAGATGTATCTACAGTCTTCATGAAGAAGTTAACAGTGTTAAAACACTAACAGTTAGTAAGTAGTGAAAAATGAACTGCTGCGTTGGGTTGATCAACTTTTTTTCTAGTTATTTATGTTCAATCCTTTTCTGGCTGATCATCTATCATATATTTTTTTCCGTTTGAACTGTCTCAAAAATCAAAGTTCACTCTTTGTTCAAAGTAAATGTTTACATTTGATGTTTCTTTCCTTCTATTGGGACTCCTCCACATTTCCCATTATTATTTCACAAAAATTCTAATACTTATTTGAAGAGATTTATGAAGCTGCAACTATTCTCAACAAAATTCTCTAATTTTGTTCATGCAAATTGGCATTTCACTATCATTTCATTGTTGAAACTGAAGAAGCCATTGTATGGCGAAACACGTGTTGCGTTTTTGTAAAATTGTTTAGTGAAAATCTCACAAAGTGTTTTTAGAAGACGTTTTTTGGGTTCATTGGAAATTTGTGACAGCTTTTATTTGATGGAAATTTTCTACAAGTTTGTGATTGCTCTTTTCAATTTTATTTAAGGAAAAATTTATTTTTAAGTTGAGATGTTTCCATCGTGAGAACAAATTAACTTTTAGTTTTGAATGATTTTACAGTACTTTTTCTTTTGAATTGCTTCAATAAAATTTCATAAAAATTGCTTTACAATGTCTGTATGAAGTTTGTCAACTTTTTAAAACTATGATACGTTTCTAGTGACCTTAATCCTTTAGGAGAAAGCACGACCGCCGAATATATAAATTACAATTATAGCGATAGTATTTTAGAGTACAAAGTAGGGAAATTGAGTGCCTATGAAAAAACTGTTTCGATGCAGACTCAAACATGGAAAAGATGAATCTCCGTCACCTTAGTGCTCTTTACTTTATTACTTAATTTTTGTGTTCGTCATAGGTTTTGCCCAAAAAATGGGTAATTGGTATGGGAACTCGATTTTTGTGAGGATGCATATTTTATTCACCTAGCAGATCATGTCTTTCCACCAAATTCACAAAAACGTTTTCGGTTGGGTGCGAGATATTTTCAAGAACGGGGAGTCAAAATGCGACTACTGACTGGATGGCTCTAATAGCAGAGGTCATAATCGAAAGAAGAAATCTCTCCTTTCTACTTCTTCTTTTCAGTTATGGCCATTTCACTGAGAGAAATGAGCCTGTTTTTGATTTAAGGGCTACTATAAAGAATGGCTAAGTCTGAGTTTATCTCTGTAACTGTAATGTAATGCAGTTACAGTAATCTCAGTAACTGTAATGCAATAACAATAATAATCTTTCTTCATAGTTCACATGTTAGTAATTAGAGACCATATATTATTACTTTGTGTATAATTCAAAGCAACACTAGCTATATTGTTATGTGCAAATTTGTGAGAGATAGGATCCCTCTTATTAAACTATTTACTCAAATGTTCTTGGATACATGTCTCAAGGCAGACTCATTCGATACTTAGGTCGATAAGACCTAATAGCTTCAACAATTAAGGCCAAAAAAACAACAAAAAAGTATGTGTTTTAAAACCCTTCAAGAAAAGTCTTGAAATGTTTTGACTCCTCGTTCTATTACCAAGCCAATAACAGTGGCCCAAAAGTGTAAAAACTGCAGCCTAATAGTTACCGAATAGTGCAAAGTATATTGTATATTCTTCTCTAGCTCCAACACATATCAAACACCCATCAAATGACAAAAATTAACTGAAATGTAACAATACATTTAGAGCGATAAAGTGCTCTCTTAGTCTCAATGAAAACCGTCCATTTGCACTAACTTAGTTGGTGTATTAGGTTTAGTAAAAACTAATATATTGAAATATTCCGACCCATTTGATTATGTACAATAATTTTTTGTTGTATTTTTTTTTCACCATCTCATTGTATAGTTTAATGAATGTAGCTTTTTTTCAACATTTTCTTATGATCTGGGTTATTGTGGATGTTCTAGTGAAAACTTTTTGTTTTAAATTACAAACCAAGATGTTTTTGACAGACATTATCCAACAACTCAGTAAAACGCGTTTTGTTTAAAAGAAATGCTCTGTATATTGTTCTTAAGAATACTGTAACAAAGTGAATAGAAACAGACTCGCATTTGTAGCGAGTTGAACAAATAAAAAGGGATCCAAATACTTGCAGCTGTATATATATTACTTTTAGTTTTTGTTTTTCTTTGTATTTTCGAGTATTCTCATTTACAAGATTGAATTCAAGAAAGATTTGTATACATGTTGAATTTTTAATAAAAATTTTCTTTTGATAGTCTGTGGTTTCATTGAAACTTGAAGAGTGAGAAAGAATTCCAAAAACTCAAAATGGTTTGTTTCGTAAACATTGAAAGTCACATCACATGCTAGGACTCGCACGTCAAAAGGCAAGACCTTGTTAATCCAAAGCAGGGTGACCTCCGGTTTTTGCCTATTAATACTGGTGAACTTGTGATACAACCCTTGACTATTAGAAGAAACAACAGAATAGATTTTGTGGCCCTGGTTCACAAATCTTGCATCTAGTCCCAGTCGTTAAACTGATCAGCAGCGTTTTGTTCACATTATTTTACTGCAAGAAAAAATAAAACCATCCCTCATTGAATTCAAATCAAAGTAAACATTATGTTCTTTTTATTAGTTGATACTTTCTCTTTAAACTTTCTCCTCTACATCGTCAATAAAATCATCATCCTGGTCAAAATTATCATCGAATTTCTCAAGTTTAGAAAACTGGGCATTTCTAAATTCTTCTTTTACATACTCTACATCTGGCATATAATTCTTGTGTCTTCGCTTCTCTTTCATCTTGAGTATCTGAAAAAGTACGAATTAACAATGAAAGAAGGAGACAGAAATGACTCATCATTACTTGTCGCTGGTGCAAAAATTCCCGAAAGGCTTCTCTCTGAGTCTTGCTGCTGCCCAGTGATACGGGATCTTTATTAATTGATTGGTTCAGTTTAAAAGTGGCCCAGCTCTCATCAGCCTCATCGGTAAGATTGGCATGTCTGTGCGGTGCCTCTGATTTCTTCACTTGTTTTCTAATCTGAAAGATTGAAACTTACGAGGGTTAGTCCGTTTTTGACTGTTCTTGTACAACATATGTTGTCACTGAAGAGCAATTATTATCGAAGGTTACAAAGGAAACTCACCCTAGTCAAGATAGCTGCATGATCCAAACCCAAGACATTCTGAGGCATTGGTGGAAAAGGCAACTCATCACTTTCATCCAATGGAGTCTCTTCATCTAACTCAGCTTCTTGTCTCTACAACCAAAGCATTTTCAAAATGTTACTTTCACTCCCATGCCAGATACCTTAGTTTCGTCTTCAAGTGGAACGTACAGTTCGAACTCGGACTTCATTTGGACTGCCTCATCAGAAGGAACATAATCTTCACCGTAATCTGCGATGGCTAGTCGCTTTTCCAATGCTACGATTCTGGCATACCGTTTATCTGCAAAGCACACCAAATTAACTGGTTGCAGTTACTGATTTGTTAGCGCCTACCTTTGACGAACTGTATCATCGGTACGTTTCCCATGACTCGAAGCTGAGAGAGTTCGTGTCGCAGGGATCCAGCATTTTTCTGCAGTATTTGGTCGACTGCTTGGTCATCTTCCGAACCTCTTGCTATCCAGTATATATTTAGACACTTATAATCCGGAGCAATTTTGACCTGCAGGCAATATATTAAACTATGAAGAATGTTGTTAATTCTTAGCTCGTACAAGCTTCAACTTCTGAGGGTTGTCATTAGTATAGAAATAACGGTGTGTTAACTGAAAAGCCTATTTGATAATAATTTTCTTCACAAGTCAAATTTCACATAAGCCAATATATGCAACACAAGTTTGTCTCAGTAGTGTCCAAACTTCAAGCTTTCAATAAAAAATTAATCATAGGGCACGCTAGTTTATAATCGTTTTCTTACTCTGTTTATTTCTATTCCATGTCCCAGTATTTCTGAAGCATACTCTCCAGTAGCCATGAGATCCGTAACATGTTTCATGAAGAGTTTATTAAGCACAGCAGCTCTCCTAGAATTGATCGAAGGCCTGCCATCTGAAGAACCCTTACTGAATGACTCTGGCGTGAAAGCAGGAGCCCCTTCATAGTGAACAAATTTTCTGAAATGAAAATTCACTTTCTTAGCAATTTTTTGAATGTAAACACACCAGATTGAAATTTCATACAAGTACGTTCCTGAACAATTGATTCCTTAGATGATAAAATACTATTTATTGTGTATGGATCACTGGAATCTTTCCTAATAAATGAATAAAGAAGATTTTAATTTATTCACAATGAGTCTTTTGAGTTGACACAAAGCATTGAAATTGTCTGGAAAAACTGATTGCAGTGTCATCAGCAAAGATGTTTGTGTGACATTCAGAAATGAATACAGACAGTAGTCCTGGGACGGAGCCTTGAGCCACTTCTAATGTTATGTCTTTGGAACTTCACAATATTCCATTGCAGCATAGACTTACAGTGTTTACTGCAATAACAACAATTAGTCTTTTCAATAAGTTACATGATGTTTAAAGGTGATTGACATGTCATTAATAAAAAAAATTGTGGAATGATAAGTACCTAACCTTTTCTTATTAACTCCCAGAATTTTCTTCATGGCATTTGCAGCTTGTCGGGCCCCATTTATGATTGCTGTTGTATGGATTTGTGACTGGCTATTGAAAGGGTGAATTTGAATGGTTTTCTGGCAAAACTTCCAAGTTCGTGAACAAAAAGGGCACATTTTACTTATTGGACCAGTCAATATCAAATTATTGATACATACAAATTTTGTTACACTCGGTTGAGAGATAATTTTGCAGGTTATGTATAACCTTCAAGGTGTAGTAAAGTATATTTATTTTTATCTTTCTTTTGGTTGTAGTTTATTTATATATATTATATATCCAAGTCTAAGTACATTCCAACGAAATGTGGATAGTTCATTATTTTTATTTTACAATAGACGTAAATAAACTTGTCATTCACTAGTAGCACACTGTTGCTATTGCCGGCAAAGTCACAGTATATGGATGATGGATGTGCCGTAATTGCCGTTGCCGTAATAGTAGCAACCCTTAAAAAAAGTACTAGATCTAATCTGAAAAAATGTGAGATTATCCATATCAATATATCTATAACTGTAACTATTTGGTTGAACTTGGAAATGAGTAAATTCATAACAATTTGTTATTATAATAGAGTATAGTCGAATTATAAAATGACTCCTCCTGATTAACGGAAAAAACAGATTTTAAACAGATTTTTTGAGTGAAATTTGGTCTATTCAGTATATAGTATCTATTCATCTGAATATATTTTCCTTGCTAGTGGCATTATTAACAAATATCGGAGTAACAGGAGACAGAGATCAATGACAAACTGACAATTGACATGAAACTTTTTTTTGGAAAAAACGTCATGTCATGCAGTAAGTAATAATTTTAATGTGTTAGGACAATACATAATCATGTAAAACTTTATATAATGAAACTGAAATCAAATGAGGAGTAGCATTTTAATGTAATAATAAATTCAAGACAGATACACAAAATACACTCCAGTTTTTAACATTAGAAAACTCTAGCATATGTGAATTAACTCCAACAAAGTTGTGAGAATGTACTAATGTTATGAGTACTCTTTCATGACGAAAAAGTTACTGTGTTAGCGAAACATGTGATATTTTTCAAATAAAGATTGTGGAAATGAAATCTTGAGGTGTCGATACTATTGTATCGTTTGGAGGAAAATATTCAAATTCAAGGTCAAATTGAATTCAAATTCTAACTTTTTTCAAATTATTTCAATTTGATTAGAAAAATTTCTTTCTCTGGATGAGATATCTGAGGCCCATACAATATTTCAAAAATAGAGTGCTTCTTCTCGCGAATTAGTTAAATTTATACATATGGAAATATCGCGACAACAAACAACGTGGCAACGATGTCAGCCCTGTTTTATTGACTCGTATCGTATAAACTTGATCATATGATTGATTCACACATGACTTTTGAAGAATCAAGTTTCGTGTTCTGTAATTCTGTACAGTTTGAGGTATTCTCTCTGTCGACGTTCATCCGTGTTGGTAGTTTTTCAAGTTAAAAAAACAGAAAATGGCAAGCCAAACGCAGGGCATCCAGCAACTATTGGCTGCCGAAAAGCGAGCAGCAGAAAAAGTATCAGAAGCCCGCAAACGTGAGTTTTAATAATACAAATCGCGACCTAGGATTTTGGGTGTAACCCTGATCACGAGACTAAAAAATAGTGGACGAAATTCCTACTGTTCATAAACTGATAACTTTGAAATGTTCTCAGAATTGTTTTTGTTGCAGGCAAAGCAAGAAGGCTGAAGCAGGCCAAAGAAGAAGCTCAAGACGAAATCGAAAAATACCGTAAAGAACGCGAACGTCAATTCAGGGAGTTCGAGGCCAAGCATATGGGCTCCAGAGAGGATGTAGCGTCCAAAATCGAAGTGGACACCAAACGTAGAATCGAAGAGATGAACAAGGCTATAATCAGTCAAAAAGAACCTGTAAGTTCAATATCCCTCCCAATGAATCATTAGGAGTGTCGTACTATTAAAGAAGACATTGTCTAACGTCTAACATGGGGCTCTCTTTATCGATTGCATGTGTGTAATTGTATGATTTCAGCTTATAAATTGCCTCTGATTAATTATTTCAACCGAGTCTGAAAGCCTGTTACGACTAAATTAATTATTTTCAGTTTTATTTTCTTTCTGTTTGAAAGAAGTCTCGGTTTCTTATTGAGAGATTTTTTTTACTTCAACTGAAACTTTCAAGTTAAATGAAATGAAGAAAGAAACTTTTTTGAATCTGCAGGCTTATGAGTGGCCACATGACATGGTATTAACGAATGTGCCTTGGAGCACATGAATATAATTTTGTATTTCCAACAAAAAAACATTTTTATTGTTGTTGGATGTTTGTACAACTGCGATTTATTTCTGCAGTCAGGCAACACTGTGTTTTCTTTGACTTTGAATATTAGGCATAAGACCACTAACATTTTTATGCTCATTTAATAGAAAAAAATCAACCACTTGTGTTAAAAGTGCTTGCAGTAATTCATGACAAATAATATCCTAGAATTGTACGCTAGATTTACACATTTTTCTGTGTAAATTTAACCTACTATTCATGTATTTGAAATCAATTTCCAAAACAGCCAACTCAACAGAAAAAAAGTTTTTTTAATAAAATATTGTATATTTAATCTCTTAAGGCAGTTCACTCTTAAGTTCACAGGGTAGTGGAATTTGTGTACTTGTATATTGTAAGTCAAAATAGAAAAAATATATTGTGAAAACTTGAAAATTTTATAACTGCGGTTCAGGGAGTTGAAACAGCTTTTGCTCTTCAAAATCATAAAACTGTATATTGTCAGATATTTTTGTGCAGGAATCGATATTTCTGTTTTTTGGGTTTATGATCACAATCCGAAAAAAAAAAACAGCTAAATCAATAAACAATCTGCTGTAGTGTAATAAAGGGCAAACTGAAAAGTAAAATCCATTGATTTCGATTTTTAGCTTTGCTTATTTTTTAGATCATGGAAGATTATATATCCAAAAAAAAATAGAAGCTACAATAAAATAAAATTTGGATATTCATTATTTCATCCCTGTAATTCACATGTACATGTTTTTCAAAACAACAAAAATACAAGTGATGTAATTTTTAACTTTCTGCATAAGATTTATAGTGATATGAATTCTGGTGCCTATTCAGCAGCTGTATTCTGTGACTTTTCCAAGGCATTAGACCTCGTTGATTACAGAATCTTACTGCGGAAGCGGAAACATTTGGGTTTTGAGCACAGAAGCATTAGATGGTTTGAATCCTACTTATTGCGTCTAAAGCAAATTGTAAGACTCTCAACCGACTCAAATGTCGGAGAAATCAAAGCAGGTGTCCCTCAAGGTTCCATCCTAGGACCCATCTTGTTTCTATTGTATATTAATGATATAACACAACTGCTAGCATCACATTATTTGCAGACGACACAACGTTGCTGTGGCAGGGAAAAGTTCCTACAAAACTAGCTCAAGATGCCACTGTAGACATGGAAAAAATTAGGAGCTGGTGCGACTCAAATAAGCTTTCTTTAAACTTTGATAAAACCCATCTCCTCATCTTCAAATGTGAACTCCCACCTCTTAGTTTGAATAACAAGATTCTCGAGATGAAATTGTCCTCCAAATTCTTAGGACTTCACATTGATAATAAGCTTAAATTTGAGGATCATATCAAGTTGAATAAAAAACTTGCATCTGGCTGCTTTGTAGTGAAGTCAGTTTCGAAGGAACTGGGTAGAACCTTTGCAAGATCTGCGTACTTTGCCTTTGTGGATGCACATATAAGATATGGTATTGCCTTCTGGGGAGTATGCAGCAAAAGCATGCTGCAGACTGTTTTCGTTTTACAGAAGCGAGCTGTCCGTTATGTGTGCAGGGCAAAGTTCCAAGATCACTGCAAACCATTATTCATTGAACAACGAATTCTCACAATATCTCTATTCATTCTTGAAACAGTAAGTCTGATTCATAAAAATATATCTGCATATATGTCGCATACTGTAAAAAAGGTTTTTCCACTTCATCTGCAAGAGTAGTTTTCTACAAACTTTCAAGTCAAACAAAAATCTAGATATAGGCTTTCTCTACAAATGAAGTTTTTTCATTAAATTTTTCATTTATAAACTATATGAGCAACAGTTCAATAAAAAACAAATTCAAAACAACCTTACGAGTTAGGAATGGTTGAATTAAAAAGGATCTGGTTCGAAGGACCAATGTCCACAATCCCTGGACAAATAAAACTTAGCTTTGGGATGTTAATTTTTTTTCATACTAAAAATACGTAAATCTATAACAGCATTTAATAACAAGGCAGGTCCCGTTTCTTTGTGACGTTCAACAAATTTCCATTTGATGGAAAACAACACCCTACGCTACAAACATTGCAATCATTTTCCACGTATAGCTAAGTGGTAACAATATCAACCAATATATACAGAGGTTCTTCATATTTTTTTAAAAACTACAATCACTCCTGAGGAACTTCACAAGGACACACTGCTCTCACTATGTAAGAGACAAAGGTGAACCTTAATAAACTGGGGAGAACCATAAATACATCGTTATACATTGAACCTCTCTGGGTCTTCCAACCTAAAAAGAAAATGTTACTTTCTTGACAGTTTATCGTAAAACCAACACGTACCTCAAAATCGACACGTCTTTATTGATGAACGAAACGTCTTGCGGCGTTAAAAACACAAACTGGAGCTGAGGCCTCGAATTGGCATGATGAAGCAGTATATCAATCACTTTGGTACGGTTCAACTTGTCCTGAAAAAAATAGACCACATTAAATTTTGAACAAGCCACCTTATATCAGCACGCACCATATACACGTCGAATTCGTCAAGAAAATAAAAAGGAAACTCCATGCACTGCCAGAGGGAATACAAAAAAGCAACCGTAGAAAATGATCGCTCGCCTCCAGATAGATTTGAAGTGGTAGTGTGTCCCTGAGACCCGTGTTGGGGAATGACCACCAAGTTCAGCTTCTTCTCTTGCATGTTGATTTCGATGGTGCCCTGAAAATAATTACTTGAAACAACTGAAGGCGGAAAAGAGACATTACAGTTTTATGATGAGTAGTTCAAATAGCTCTGCAGTGTCTAGACGAGTAGTTCAAATAGTTATGTATTTTCTTGGTGGGTAGTTCAAATAACTCTACAGTTTCTAGACGAGTAGTTCAAATAGGTATGTATTTTCTTGGCGGGCAGTTCAAATAGCTCTACAGGTCTAGGCGAGTAGTTCAAATAGCTATGTATTTTTTGATGGGTAGTTCAAAAAGCACTGTAGTTTCTTGGTGAGTAGTTCAAATGTCCCCTTTTCCACAAGCTGCTCATTATAATGAGATGAACTCCCAGAAGTTCAAGACTTTTATGTCCATTACGTATCTTGACTCTCGGGGTATTTAACCTGAAATCAGTCAGTAATAAAAAAAATAATATACAAATATATCGTTTGAAAAAAATGAGCTGGTATTGACCTCAAACTGCATATAAAATTTTCTCTCAATTTTTGTCTTCAGTAGGTGCCTTTCACCAACAAGTTGAGCCTAAATAACCCTAGGAGAGACCTAAAGAGACCAAATAACATTTACCTTGAAAAGATAAGACCTTCACATTCCCCAAAAAAAAAAACAGTCATCCTCCACGATTATGTCAAACACTCTCTTCTAATATATAGTTCGCCGCCAATCCTTGTGCAAGAATCCCTAGATGAACATTTAAAAACGGCATTTCCTAATAATTACCTTGAACTGCCTGTACTCCAAAATCTTCTTAAACGAATACTTCATGTACGTGATAAAGTAACTCTCCGTTAGTTTGTAATGTCTGTTTCTCTTTTCCAGGGCAGACGTCAGTTCCATCACGTCCGTCTGTAAACTTTTCATGATGTCCGCGGATTTGATGAACTTCTCCGATAGCTCGTTGTAGCGCTCCATAACTTCCGATACGTCTTCCGTATCAGTTTCTATTCGAGCTATGCGGAGTTTGACTTCGTTAATTTCTTTCGTGATGTTGGGAACTCGCCTACAATTAATGATTATCAGATAAAACCTTCATCACTGGACATAATTGATTATATGTTCGACTATAAGAACCTCAACTTTTCGTTAGTGTTTATTAACTGAGGTTCAGATAAAAAACATACAAAGTATTGAATGAAAAATTACATATTTGTAAAATTAATAAATATACTATAGTAACCTCAAATCCGGTAAACGTTCGCCAACAGAACTAGCCTCGTTTGTACAAGCCTTCAGTTCGTTTTGTTTGGCCACCATCTGTGACCTGGCTTCGTTCAATTTCACTTCATACTCCCTAAGACGCCTCTTGTCGAACTCATCGCTCGTCGCAATTTCCTTCTGTTTCGTTTGACTCTCCTGCACGTCGTCCTGCAAAAGGAAACTAAAATGTATCAGTAAAAGGTTCGCGGAATCTTTCGGAAACAAAACCGACCTTCAGCGACTGGATCCTTTCTTCCAGCCCTGTGGTTGAACCCTTCAGCTGCGTCAGGTTTTGCTCTTTCGCCGTGATGGTAGCTCTGATTTCACGAATTTCCTCGTTCACTTGTTCCAAAGCGGCGGATTTTTCTGCGAGGGTTCTCGTAACTTCTTCCAGCTCTTGCTCCTTAAAATCAAAAGCAAATCTCGGTTATATTTTTCGTAACAGACGATTTCGGAAAAAATAGGTCATTACCAAAAATTGAACATTTTGAACTTCCGGCTCGGCTGTGGAGTTCAACTCCTCCAACTGTTTTCTAATTTGGGCTCTGGCCGAATTAACTTTCCTCACTTTTTGTTCCAGCTCGTCTTTCCTAGTCTCCTGCTGCCTCTTATTATCCAGGAACTGTTGCAGTTGACTCATAATAACTTGCTTCTTTTTATTTAAACTTTCTATCGTCTGCTGTAACTGTCTGAAATAACATTTTCTTTAGTAGCACAGTTGAACAACATCAGTTACGTCCAATCAATAACAACTAAATGGCAACATTTCGAACGGATCCCTATTTAAGTATCTACTTAAAAGTATCGCTTATAAATTGACTCATAATAACTTGTTTCTGTTTAATTGAACTTTCTATAGTCTGCTGTAATTGTCTGAAATAATATTTGTATTTGGTAGCAAAGTTCCGGACGAATCCCTACTTGAGTAGCTACTTAAAAGTATCACTTATAAGTTGACTCATTTTATTTTTATTTAAACTTTCGGTCGTCTACAGTAACTGTCTGAAATAATTCTTTTTAGTAGCACAGTTGAACAACATCAGTTACGTTAGATTGATAACAACTTAAATGGAAAGATTCAAGACGAATCCCTATTCAAGTAGCTACTTCAAAGTATCGCTTATGAGTTGACTCATAATAAACCTGCCTATTTTTATTTAAGCTCACCGTCGACTGCCGTAACTGTCTCAAATAACATTTTTTTAGTAGCACAGTTGAACAACATCAGTTACATCCAGTCAATAACAACTAAATAGCAAAATTTCGAACGGATCCCTATTTAAGTAGCTTCTTAAAAGTATCGCTTATAAGTTGGCTCAGAATAAGATATTTCTGTTTATTTAAACTTTCTATCGTCTGCTGCAACTGTCTGAAATAACATTTTCTTTAGTAGCACAGTTGAACAACATCATTTATGTCCAATCAATAACAACTAAATGGTAAAGTTTCGGACGGATCCCTATTTATGTATCTACTTAAAAGTATCGCTTATAAGTTGACTCATATAATAGCTTGTTTCTGTTTATTTGAACTATCTATGGACTGCTGTAATTGTCTGAAATAATACACAGTTGAAAATCAGTTAAGACCAATTGACAACAACTAAATGGCAAAGTTCCGGACGAATCCCTACATGGGTAGCTACTTAAAAGCATCACTTATAAGGTTGACTCATAATAACTTCCTCGTTTTTATTTAAACTTTCGGTTTAAATAATTCTTTTTAGTAGCACAGTTGAACAACATCAGTTACGTTAGATTGATAACAATTTAGATGGAAAGGTTCAAGACGAATCCCTATTCAAGTAGCTACTTCAAAGTATCGCTTATGAGTTGACTCATAATAACTTGCTGTTATTTGAACTTTCGGTCGTCTACTGTAACTGCCTGAAATGGTTTTTTTTAGTAGCACAGTTGAATAACATCAGTTACATCAGATCGAAAACAACTTAAATGGAAAGGTTTTGGACAAATCCCTATTCAACTAGTTAAAAATATCGCTTATAATAACTTGCTTCTTTTTATTTAAACTTTCGGTCGTCTTCTATAACTGTATGAAATAATTTTTTTAGTAGTATAGTTGAACAACATGAACAGACGTATCCCTATTGAAGTAGCTACTTAAAAATATCTCTTACAAGTTGACTCATGATAACTTGCTTCTTTTAATTGAAACTTTCGGTCGTCTGCTGTAAATGTCTGTTAGTAGGAGAGACAGTTAATAGTAATAATAATGTTTATTGTTATTAGATCCAAAACGATAGGACTTTAAATAGCTGATAATCCAACTAAATATGACAGTGACAGATTGAAGATATTGAACTTTGATCAGACTTTACACACCGAAGATTTTTCTAACTTACTGTATATACTCTTTGGTGTCCACCTGCAAATACTTGGCTCGCACATAGTTCGAAGCGTAAGTCCTGTAGTTCGGATCCGGATAATACTTGTCTCCTTTGGTAGTGATGCCTTGATGGCAGTTCCTAGGCACTGTCCGCCGATCGGAGAGCAGTTCTTGAGCCCTGCGGTCCGTCGGGATGAGCAAAATGTTTTCAGGCGAGCAGCTGTCAACGATGCAATTCGATACGATAGTGTCGCTTATTTCTATAGCATTATAGAGGCTTACGCAGTCATTCGGTTCGTAAACCAGGTTTCTCCTAATGTCGTGTTTCTAGAGGAAGTGAATCGCTAGTTTCAATGAAGATGATCATTTTGGAAGTAAAGGTGTAGTCCCAATCAAAGCACTTACCTTCGACAAAAACTTCGAAGTGATTACTTGAGGCTGTCTGCCACCGCTGGAGACTTTGTTGAAGATTTCCCGCAGCAGCTTGTTGTCTTTGTTGTTATCGACAGTGAAGGCACAGAGGGTGTCCGCTCCTACATATCCCTCAACAGCCACTGCCCATTTCTTGTCCTTCAGTTTGATGTAAGAACCTAAAAATCTCAAATTATCTTAAAGAACAATTCGTTCAGGCCAGTCTCAACTCCCTACACTGTAGGCATCTATCAGAAAACAACTACTCCCCTGGCTAATACCACGAAGGGCGTTGGATTATGCACTGTTGATTGTGCATTGGCTTTGGGTTTGAATATGATGGTTTTCAAAGCAGCTGAGAGATAGTGTGCATCATCTCTTTCGTTTAGACTACTGATCTTCTCAATTTGCCATCGCCTCTCTTTTGATTTTAATTTTCTGGTGTTGTATACTTGCGATCTGTTTGCAGCTTCTGAAGTCGATGTTATAACCTGTATCAAGGTGGTGTTTGTGAAGGGCTGACTTTGTTCTATTGTTTGTTGTGAAGTGAAAGTTTGTGTTCCTCTAATCTGACTGATATTGGCCTACTGGTTTGGCCAACGTATTCTCTGCTGCAATCATCACATGCGGTCTTATATGAATAAGCCTTGGCTTTCTACACTGACTGTCTTTTGGGGTATTCAAGGATTTTTTTATGATTCTCCAGGTTCATATGCTGTTTTTATGTTTTGTCGTTTAACAATTATTCCTATTTCATCTGTAACTCCTCTGACATACGGCAGCATGACTTCAGTTTCTTTTGTGTTTATTTTTTTCATTGTTCTCCTTCCTTCTGTGGTGTGTTGCTTTGTGAATTGTATGACTTTAATACCCATTTTGTTCATTGCTTGCTCCTTTGCGTATAAAGAAACTGGGCACCGCTTGTTTTTGTGCTTGATGGATATGTGACGCCGCATATCTGTTAGTTTGTGTTGGGTTCTTGTAAACGGTGTGCAGGTTTTTTCCAACTGGAACATCTAGAAAAGTTAACTCGTTTCTTCTATTTCAGAGGTAAACTGGATTTTCTCGTGGATTGAGTTTAGGTATGTTATGAAACGGTCAAGTTCTTCACGTCCATGAGGCCAAATGATGAAAATGTCGTTGACATATCTAAGGCATAATTTGAGCGAGAGGTTTCATACGCAACCTCTCAGCTGCATGGAAAACCATCATATCCAAAACCAAAGCAGTGCAACGCTAACGGCAAATGCACCGCCCAGAACAATGATCAATGTAATTAAATTACTCACCGAAAAGTAGTTTTTTCGTGTTGAAATACCACTATTTTAAAAACCATCAGACTTATTAGATACATATTTAAAAAAAATAAAAAACATTGCAAACAACCAAAATTTCCGAGACAACATCAACACAAAACAACATGAAACAAACGAATGGCTTAATCTGAGATTCTGATAAGGTGGTGTCTGTTTTTTAATCAACGGCAGAAATAAAAAGAATAAAAAAAGGGGAAATTATCCCGGTATTTTACTTATCAAATTGAAATATGCAGTATTAAGGCCATCGACATTTCTTCTAGTGTTAACACTATCTCATTTGAGGATACGTATCATTTCGCTCAAAAGTTTTTTGGATAAATACATCAAAAGTGTGTCCATATTCTTTTTCATGTTTAACGAGAGCTGTGGGGTTTTTTATATTCAGTTTTTTAGAGTCTCTCATGTGTTCTGAAACTCGTATTTTAAGATACCGTCCGGTTTGACCAACATAGCATTTGCGAGAGCTTTCACAGTTCAATTTATACACTATATTGGATTGTATTTCTTGTGGTGTTTTTGTTTTTAGTTTCCAAAAAAAATACTTTCCAACTGTATTTTCATTTGAAAAGGCCACTTTAATTTTTTCGGTACCGAGTAGCATTCCAAGTTTATCAGATACATTTTATACAAATAGAATTTTGTGATATTTGGGTTTCACACCGCTGCCGGACCAAAAATGGAAAAACCTACTCCTCATAAATATACCAAATTTTCAACAAAACGCTTCTCACCCAACGGTCCTCTGGGTTCCTTTTCGAAACGATTCTTGTACTGAGCGATCATCTGCTTTATCCTCGGCATGTCTCTTCCGTACAAAAGCAGTTCGTTGCCTGACTCGGCTTGTATTGCTCTCAAGTTATTTTTCTCGTTCGCTGGAACGAAATTTTTGATGATATCCTTTCCATAATACTTACTATTTTATTTGATGGAATTGGCTGACACTTGATGAAAATCCATAACATATTCAGGAAACACTTTATTGTGAGATTTTCACTAAACAGTTTTACAAAATGTCTTCAGTCCTGAAGAAGCTATTATATAGCGAAACACGTGTTGCGTTTTTGTAAAACTGTTTAGTGAAAATCTCACGATAAAGTTTTTCCTAAACACTTACTATACTACTATATGGGCTAAAAAGTATCGGGCCTAACACATAGATGGCGCTAGTCTTATCGCATTCACCGCTTTTTCAGTTAGTATTAACCTTCCAAAGAAAGCTGTTTAAATTTCATGATATTCTACTCATAAGTTAGTGAGTTATTGTACTGAGAGTGACACTAGTTTTGTTATTTTCAAAACAATGGACCAAAAACAATTTCGTGTTTTAATTTTACACTGAGAAAAAATACCGTTTAAGAGAAGCAATGCCTTGAAAAGTGTTATAAGGACTCCGCTCCATCAGAAAGAACAATTAAACGTTGGTTGAAAGGTGGTCGTAGAGATTCCAATGAAGCAGAATGCAGTAGACGTCCAAATGAGGCAGCAACACCAGAAAAAATCGCTTTGAATCGGGAATGTTCCTCCTGACGAAAATCAAGTAGTTTTTATAAAAGAGCTCTAAAACAACGCATTTTAAACTCATCATTTCAACCTTTTTCTTAAAAAAATTATTTAAAAACTTAAAAAAAAGAGGAATGAAATAATGCATTCAACATTTAAAGGGATTCGTTTCTATTTCACCATTTCGCAACATTGGTTATAGCTAATAAAGGACAATGAATCTGTTACCTGTATGAGACAAACAAATATGACATATTTCAGAGGCGTGCTGTTCTGTTTTCTTATGTTACGAGTTCCGAGACATTGTGTGACATATGTCATTTTGTGCACCTAACCTATCTTCCTCTATATAAATAAATAACAAAACAACTGTTGTTTAT